AACGGGAGAGGGGGGAAATCACCTTCCTGCACAGGCACCAGGAGGTCTGCAAATTAGCAGCCAGAAAAAGAGCCAGACTCACAGATAATGCCACAAAGCCAACAGCTGCAGTGGTGGGCAAACCCCAAAATGTTGGGGGGAGCTTTTATACAGCACGGGGTCCCAGACACTCCTGGTTTCCCTCTTCAGAGAGGATGCAGCACAGAAAAGGGCACCAGAGACAGCTACAGACTGTAAAGTGGTTTGTACAGGGAAAGGCCCAACAGATCAGGAGGAGTCTTAAGCCTGGAAAGAGATGTGATGAAAGGCAGATGAAACTCAGAGCAGAGGACCAGGGAGCAAACACATCACAGGAGCTGCAGGAGCCCAGGGAGATCACAGGGAAAGCAGCATGTTGTGCCACAGAGCAGCTGCATCAAAGGAGTCACAGCCTCTTGTGGAGGCAGAAAGTACCAACAGGTTCCAGAGGGAGCAGGTGAATCCCAGGGCATCCATCCAGGTGGTCAAAGCACAGCCCCTGGGTACAACCTCCACGACAGGCTGCAGCAGCACAGCCCTGGGAAGGACCTTCCACTATCCCAGGCTGCTCCAAGCCCTCCCAACCCAGCCTTGGACACTTCCAGGGATCCAGGGGCAGCCACAGCTTCTCTGGGCAACCTGTGCCAGGGCCTGCCCACCCTCCCAGCCGAGAATTTCTTCCCAATACCTGATTTAACCTTCCCTCTCGCAGCTCCCGTCACCAGCCCCTTTGGAAGGACACCGGGCCAGAGGCACCTGAGCTCAGCCACGGCCTGGTTTTATTCACGAGAAGGATGAATGAGATGTCCCACACTCCAGCCCAGCCTGGCAGGGATGCAAGAGCAACCTTCACAGGCTCCAAAACAAATTGCGTGCAGAGCTCGGGAACCAGGCGTGGGGGTCAGGGAGAGGTCGCCGGAGGAGAACGGGGAGGATTCAAATCGAGGCTGTAAATATTTTTGCAGAGCAGAAAAGAGCCCTGAGCACAGGCAATGACCTATTTTGCTGTTCCCCAGCAAAGGGTGACCTCAGCGAAGGAGAACACTCGGCTCATGAAGGGTCCTTTGTTAAACTTGGTTTTGGGGGGGGGTCCCAAAATACTCCTCCCACCGACCCAGGTGTGTTGGCAGGTGCTCTCCTGGAGCATTCCAGAGCCACACGCTCCCCTTTCCTAACTGTCTGAGGAAAACAAGAGCAGAATTCCTTCTTTTCTCTGCTACATAAACACTCTGAAAACACAGGGTGTTTGGCCCTGCAGTTTTTATGGCTCCCCACTGCAATTTCTCCCGGAACAGCAGGGCCAGGATCCCCACGGGCAGCCAAAGCAACAGTTGCTGCAATCCGCAAGGTTGACTTTTTGGAAGCTGATAAACGTCCAAGCCAGTTCTCTTGCCTGGAGGAACTGGTTATTAATTAGCTACACAGCCTGGTTCGGTGCAAGCTCTGCCAAAGAATCATCTTGATATTCATTTCCAGAAAATGGAAAACTTAAGAGACAACAACAGGCTGTCACTGCAGGGACCATCCTGGTGCTAAACTGAGACAGTTCCTTGGATCCATCTAAGGATTAGCAGGACAAGCCATGGGAGAGCCATCCCAGCCCTGGATCAGTGCTCACACTTAACCAATGCTTTTTCCTTTCCTTCTGCCTTTGACCAGAAGGTGCCTACGGGCATTTTTAATCCTTCCGCCACTGCTCCAAAATCTGCCTGTTGATTTTTAGGGCCAAAAGACCTTTTCTGGTTGCCCAGCCAGGTGGGACTGAGGACAGACCCCACCCCTGTCAAACCCAGCTGGCATTCCAAAGGCACATCCCGAGCTCCCAGGCCAGCAGCGCTCAGGGGTTGTTTACAGATGTGGCTCACAGATGTTTACACACACATCTCCACACTCAGGCAACCAAGATGGAATTTCCCTTTAGCAGCTTCTCAGACGCCTCTAGATTTGCTGAGGGAGGGGATATATCGAGGCTTCCACTTATTTCAGCCCAGCTGAAGGTTCACTGAGCGTGTTCTACACCTTTGCTGCTCGGATACCTCCTGGTTTCCACACCCCTCACACACCCCCCTGGTGTCAGCCCCCAACCTCAGCTCCAGAGCAGCTGGGATCCATCTCCCCTCCTCATCCCGCTCCTAATCCCAAAGCACAGGGGATAAACAACCTCCCAGAGCCCGAGCTGAGCGGAGCAGCCCCCACAGAGCTTTCAGAAACGTTCACAACAGACACGAGAAAAGCCACATACGTGTAAGTCCAGCACGTGATCCCACCGAGCAGCCGCTCCAGGCAGCTCCCTGCTCCCCTCTTCTCCCTCTCTATCCAGCCATGGCAGCGGGAGGCAATCCAGGGAAAAGCCAAAAGCTCCTCCGGGCCCGGCCCTGCCTCTCCCGCCGGCCCCCCGGGCTCGTGCCGGGTATTTTTGGGTGAGTCCTTCCATCTGGCCGCTCCTCCATCGCGGCCGGTGCCCAGAGTGCCCTTACATGGGCAAGGCAAAGGAAATCCTACGTTCTCCTAAGTGACAGCCCAGCTCCTTGTACAAACATTTACCCAGATTTCCCATGAGGCAGGAAAGTAAAAATTAGGCTATTTGTACCCCTCTGGGTGCCAGAAATGTGTATTTACTCTCCAAACATACTTTCAAGTGCCTTTACAGTTAACCCCTTGCTTTCCACCTGGAAGGGACTTTCAGGACCGTTGTCCCCTTAGGAAGAGAGCCAGGAGGAAGCTCACAGATGTTTACACACACACATCTCCACGCTCAGGCAACCGAGAACATGGAATTTCTCTTGAACAGCTTTTCAGACACCTCTAGATTTGCCGAGGGAGGGGATAATCGAGGCTTCCATTTATGTCAGCCCAGCTGAAGTCCCCTGAACATTCAGCAGAAGGTTCAGGGAACTCGTTCTACGTCTCTGTTGCTCGGAGATGGTCTGGTTTTCACATCCTTCACCCACACCTCTGGTGACAGGGCTGCTCGTCTGCCATCACACCCACAGCTGTGCCTGGGAGCGCAGGGAGGAGGCAAAACAAGGAGACACGCTCGGGCTCCTGAGCCCTGATCTGCCCCGGGGATTGTGCCCCTGTCAGACACAAACCCCACAGCCCACACCAAGCCCACAGCCCACACCAAGCCCACAGCCCACACCAAGCCCTCTCGAGGTGAAACCCGGGGGCAACCAGGCAGAGGCCGAGCAACAGCAGGTTGTTACGTGTGGGTGATGACACTGACGTGCCCCCCCAGTGCGAGCTGTAGAAGAGGAAGCCGAGCAGCAGATTAGCCCAGGGGGCCCCTGGGATCGTCTAATGGGGGAGATGGTGATTATTGCTCTGCCCTGTCTCTTTAGCCCCTTTTACAATCATTTTCTGCTCCTTCCTCAGCTGAACAGCTCTGAAAAAGTACATTAGAGACCAGGCTGCTCTGAGCTGGAGCTGGGGAAACGCTGAGCCCCGAGGGCTCCAACCAGCTTGTTTAATATCTCCAGAAGGGCAGCAAAGGGCCAGACACAGGGCAGGCAAGACAAGCCACGGAAAGCGATGGCATTTCAACCTCCCCGCAGCCCGAGGGGGTTAGAAACACATCGAGCTGCATGATCATAATTATGAAACAAAGCTCTTCTATTCAGATTGAAAGAGACAGGCGGGAGGACCTCGGAGCAAGGATTTTGTTGTGCTTTAGATGAGGATAAATGACCCTGGGTGTAATGAGGAGCAATTAATCATCACCCTGTAAGGCTGGAGTGGGGAACCCTCCGCGAGCCGTCGTCTCCAGCCTGATCCCTGATCTTCCCCCCCACACAGACACGTTCCACAAGCTCCTCGAGGGTGTCGTTTCTGCAAACACACCGAGCACAGCTGCAAAACGAGGCAGTTGGCTCTGGGGAAGGCAGCTTGCTCTGCAGACACCCTGGCGTGCCCAAGGCAGCCAAAGGGGGGGCTCAGGAGTGAGGAGGTCCTTGGGCACGCTGGGCATTGTGCCTCTGCCAAAGGGGACAGCAGGGGCGATCATGAGGCACTTAATCCCCAAACCCAACACTAAGTGATCTCGCTACTCCTTCTTTTTTCACCTCTGTTTTTGGGAGTAAAAGACTGTTACCCTAAATCACAGCGAGCAGATGCCAACGCAGAAAACCCCAGCTGAGCAGCCCAGGGCACAAACCCAGCCAAGGTCCTCATCTGCCAAGCACGAATTGATATGCAGACACTTCACTTGCTCATTTGAGCTGACATTTGATGAGTGTGACAGTCATAAGGACCGCACTAGAAAATTTAATCAGAACAATGATAATATAAAGGATTTATGAGGAAAAGCTGGGACTCTTCAGCAATGAGCACTCGTTCCCATGGGAGAAGCAGCTGCTGCTGCCGGGCACAAGAGGAGCAGAGTCCCTGTGATGCCCTCGAGCAGCTCTTCCCCTCCACACCGCAGCCCCTCCCTCAGACTGGACATTGGAACTTTGGCACGAAACCAGCCCAAAGCCGGAGCAGGGGCTGTGATGCAACTGTGGAAATGTAGGGTTTTCCCTGCGTGTGTTTTCAACCCTTGGCTTTGGTGTGGTTTCAGGGCTCAGCCAAACCCTGCCCGACCAACACGCCCCGAGCGTGGCCTCGGTCCGTGCTGGGCTCGACGGAAGAGCAGCACCCTCCCCTCTTCCAAAGAAAGACGTGACCGGGAACTGCTCGGGGGTCTCCAAACACCCCTTCCTCGCGCCCAGGCAGCCCCCGACTGCTCCATTCCCGAGGTGCTGTGCCCGGAGGGGCGTTCGCAGGGCCCCCCAACCAGGCCTGGAAGCGCCGCCCAAACTTTCCCCCACGCTCGGGGCACGGGGAGTGCGGGGGGCGTGCGGGTCGGGGGTCCTGCCAGTCCCACCCGGGAGGGGAAGGGGCTTCCCCGGCTGCACGAGGGGGGCTCCCCCACGACGGCGGCACAGGCAGAGCCCCCAGATGTGTCCCCCCCCCTCCCCATCCCACCGCGGCACCCCCGGTACCTGTGCGCGCTGCCATCGTCGTACACGAAGGAGCGGTTGGTGTAGCACTCGGGGCAGAGCGGCCGCCCCTCCGCCGGCCCCGCCGGTTTGTAGATGCCCTGCAGGCTCCGCTCCTCGCCCGAGAACGGCATGGGCGCAGCGGCGCGGGGCCCCGGCGCGGCGAGGCGGGGCAGGGCATGGGCGGCCCGCACGGCCGGGGGCGCGGGCCGGGGGCTGCCGGCTGCGGGCAGAGCCTGCGCCGCCGTCCCGCTCCCGGTGCCGCTGCCGGTGCCCCGCGCCCATCACGGCTCGCCCCGCAGCAGCGCGCGGGCAGCGCGGGAGCTCCGCATGGCGGGGCCGGGCGGAGCCGCGGGGAGCGCGGCGGGGCGCGGGCGGCAACAGGTGCGGGGCGGAGCGGGCCGGGGGCGGCACCGGGCGGGGCCCCCCTCGGACCCCGCCCCGGCCCCGCGACCCCCAGGGAGGGAGTCGGTGACCCCCGGGGGGCTTTGCTTGCTTTATTTTTTTTTTCCTTATCCCCCTTCCTTTTCCCCTTTCCCCCCTTCCCTCTTCCCTTTCTTTTCCCTTCCCCCTTTCCTTTTTCCCACCTTTCCTCCCCCCTCTTCCTTTTTCCCTTTCCCTTTTCCCTCTCCTCCCCTCTGCGTTTTCCTTTCTTCTTTTCTTGATTTTTCTTTTATCTTTATTTCCTTTTTCTTTTTTTTCCCCCCCCACTTCGGTTTTCTTTTCTACTTCCCACACAAATATTTGCGCCTCGGGGTTGTGCCAAACGCAAACAGCCGGGCCGAGCCGCTGCCTGCGGGGAATTCCTGTGCCGTGCTGCGCGCCCGGGCCGGGGGCGTTCATCTTCCAGGGGGGCCCTGCTGCAACAACACGGCCCCGCTGGGGGATGGCCCCAGCCCAGGGACAGCGGGATCCGCCTGGAAACGAGCCGGCTGGCTGCAAGGAAAGGGTTAACGGGGTGGACACGAGGTGCCTTCTCTCCCGTCCAAGTTCAGCCCCAGGAGTCAGGAGGTGCCACCTGTAATGAGGTGGCCAAGTACAAAGTGCCCCAAAACTGCGTCCCCCCCATCGTGGGCCAGATGTGAACGAACAGCTGCAAACCGAGCAGCTCCCACCGCGCGCCACCACCCAAAACACCAAACCCTGATTCACTCACACACCCCCCCCCGGGGAGGTGACACCACTCAGGCCGGAGCTGCTTCCAGAGCGGTGTTTTCTCTCCATCAGCTCCCCCTGACCCCGGGGTACCCCCACCCTCCCCACCCACTGCTCCCGGGACACCCGGGCCTTGGATCCCACGGTGCCCTCCGGCTGCCCCAGCCCCCGCTCCAGAGGGAAGGGTCCACTCCGAGGCTCTTCCCAGCTTCTCGCCAGGACCAGACACTTTGTTTCTCCCGCAGCACCTCTTCTTCCTCCTCTCCCTCCATATGGACTCTCCTACACAGGGAGTCATTGGAGAGAAAAGCAATTAATACTCCCCGTGCAATCCCCCCGAGTGATGCTTCCCGACCCATCCCGCTTTTAAGTGGGAAGGTTATTCTTCATTCACTAATTGCCTGACATTATCTGGTGCAAATCGTTAACGTGCAGCTCCGGGAGGAGGGGGCGGGTGGCACGGAGCGTATTGACATGCTGGGTGATAACACAGGCGTGGGGGAGGAATTCTTTAAAAACAGTTACGGGGGGTGGGGACGGGGAGCAAAGAGGAAAATGAAAGAGAAAGAGCCAGAAGGGAACGTCCCCATCCAAATCCTGGAGCTCGAGCAGTGAAGGGGGGCTTGATCCTTGGTGGGATCCTACCCAAGGAGAGCCCTTGTCCTGGGGACTGCTCCCAGCTCCAGCTCGATTCCCTGCACCCCCAAAGCCAAGGGGGAGGTGGGGGAAGGCACAGCAGCATGCTCAGCGAAGGCAGCATTCAGCATTTTGGGGGCAGGGGTCTTGGTTGAGCTTGTCCTCCCTGCCTGCCCAGGTGCAGTGCTTCCCAAAATGCCATCGGTGCTACAAATCCTCTTTTCCAAAGAGGGAAATTAAGTCACCCTTATTTCACATGCCTACTACAGGACACTCCCTCCTCCTCTGGACTCCCACAGCCCCCACAGCTCTGCTGGGGAGCCCCTTCTGCATCCTCACATTCCCACCCCAGCCCGGAGCAGGAGAGCGCAGATCCCGAGCCCGGCAGGGAGCGAGCAGCGCCAGGGAACGGGCACATCCAGGGATGCCATTTGCAGGGCCATGTGCTGCATGGAACACACGAGCTCTCCAGAGCACAGCCAGGCTGGGGGAGCGGCACGGGGGGGGCAGCTGGGAACGGCATCCCCCCAGTCTGAGATCCCCCAGGGGTCCAGCAGATCACTGCTCCAGGAGGGGCTGGCACAGGGCAGGGAGACTCAATTCGGCTGTTTCTGTGTCTGGGAGAGCAATAAATAAATCTGTGGGAGGCAAAAATGGGATGAGTCAGAGACAGGAGGGAGAGAGAAAGTCATCTTTCTGCTGAGCACATTACCCGAGTCCAGCTCACCGTGGTGCTCCAGGGACTGGTGTCCGAGGGGGTCCTTGTCCCACTCGAGCTCCCTGATGACCGCGAGCACCCTGCCAGAGGCTGATGGGGGACAGTGGGAGCCTTGGCCAAGGCTAGGAGAGCTGCAGCCCCCTTCCCAGCCCTGGGGCACCAGTGGGGGCACAGCTGGATCCATCCAGCACCTCAGGACCTGGAGAGGATGGGCTGGGGCATTGCCCGAACCCCAGGACCTGCCTCCAGCTCCCCTTTCCCTCCCTGAGCTTGGGCAGCTTTGCCTTTCTGGGTGCATCACCCAGACACACGTGGAACCCCCACCAGCCCTGGAGGGCCCCAGGAGAAATGCCCCAGGTGCTGCCCAGCACCCAGAGGGGCCGGGGAATTGGGAATAGCGGCACTGGATCCGCTCCCAGCTGTAAATGGATTGACCGCAGTCAAAGCACAGCCGGACTCAAGGCCCCGACGCTGCTGCCGATGTTGTGCGTGTCAAAGGAATTTCATGGGAATCTCGACCTGCCAGGCACACATCCAGCATGAGCCTGGCTCCAGGGAATGAAAGGGCAAAGCACCCTCACAGCACACTGCGAGAATGAGCAACAACAGGGGGACTGCTGGGCCGCTGCAAAATAAACAGCTTCTCTCTCAAGGTGGCATCTTGGCGAGGAGAACCCCATGGCCTCACAGCTCCACATCTTCCACAAGTTCATGCTCTCTCCACTCTCAGCTCATGTTCAGCTCAGCATTTCCAGACACACGGCGGGGATGTCTCTATCCGGGAATACAGAGGTAGGTAGCTGTCAAAGCTGTCATTGATCTCAAGAAGTAATAATCAAACATGCCAAACAAAAAGAGTCAGCTCTGGAACTCCGAGACTGATATCTGCAAAGAAAAAAAAAAAAAAAAAGAATGCAGGGAACTTGGCTGTAAAAACCTGGGTTTAGTGTCGTCAAGTGGGCCATTAAAGCAGAGGCAAAGACACCTTCACCTGCACACCAGGAGCTGTTTGGCTGGTGTGTCAGTGCTCGGGTTCCTCGGCTTGGCTTTCAGGTTTCTACTTATATTTAACACCCAAAGGGACATTAAATATCAAAACCAAGCGAACCACACTCTGTGGAACTCTTACAGAGCCCCCTCTTCCGTCATCCCCCAGACCCCCTGGAGAAGGTGAGGTGAAGAACTGCCTGCAAAAGCTGAATCATCTCTTCGAGCACAAACATTGCCATTAGGTGACTAAGACCAAAACAGCCGTCTCTGCTTCTTGCAAGTGATGCTGTTATTAAAAACCAGACAAGTCCCTCGTGCTCTCAGGTGTGTGTGAAACCCTGCAAAAGGCAGGTTGGAGCAGTGGGGACCCTGGGAGTGCTTTGTGTTCCCAGAGCATCCCATCTGGGGACTGGTAGGATGACAGGGGGTCTGACCTGTAAAATAAGCCCAGTGTCTCCATGAGGGCACAGGGAACACCTTGTGGAAAGGGATGTTGTGCCAGAAAAGCTGCCTGTGGGAATCAACCCATCTTTTGGGAAGAGCCTGAGAGCTGGGGGAACTGTGGGGCATGGAGAGGGGTGTCCACCCTGCAGGGAAGGACAGGGCTCAGCACAGAGCAACCACACAGACACCTGGGGCAGGCTGGGCTCAAGTTTTTATATCTGAACAGATTTATATTGAGGGGAAAAAAACCGATTTTCACTGGATTTTCCCAACAAATCCCATCCATCCACCCTCTCCTGCACCAGCGCCTGAGAACGGTGCGTCATCCGAAGCCTTCACATTCTCACGAAGCAGAGTCAAGCAGAACAGAAACCAGCCAGGCTCTGCTTCCCCCTTCCAAATGTTCCCAGCACTGGGAGGGAAGCCAGGAGGCTTTAGGAGATGTTTGAAGAAGCTGTGGGTTCGGCTGCTCCTCTCAGCGTGTTGCCCCACCCTGCCTGCCCCGGGCACCTCCTGCTCCACAGCATCTCCCCCTGCCCTCCTGGAACCTCTGCTCTGCTCTTTGGATCTGGCAGAAGGTCATGGCTCTTCCTCTCAAAAAAAAAAAAAATCAAACTCCAAACATCCTTCAATTTGAGCACTCACAGCTTTAGGGTAGCTCAGGTTGTGTGCAGAGTTACTGGTACATTCCTGCTCCCATAATGAGGTTTGCCTGGACATAAAATTCAAGGAAAATGTGAAAACATCTCACATAAAGCAAATTATAGCCCTGTGGCTCAGGAAAACCTGCTTTCCTGGCTGTTTCCCTAATTTACACCTACAGGATTGCGCAGGGTTTCAGTGCAGCTGTAGGGACACCATTCCTAACCCCAGGGACCTGACTTCAGCCACTCGGGGATCCTGAATTCCCTCTTCTTCAGGAAACTCTGGGCTCTCCCCGGGAGTGAGGATTTCCCTGAAAGAGCTTCACTTTACCCATCTGAAAAGTGAGACGAGGTCACACATGGGTGTCACATTGCCCTGAATCCTGGGTTTGAAGGTGATGGAGGGATCGCCCCCAGGCAGACTCCCTGGAACTCCCACATCAGCTACTTCACCCTTCAAGGAGTCTTTTCCTCGCCGTTCCTCAGCTTTCTCCTGGTGGGACTCAGCCAGGCTCTATGGAGAAACAAAACCCCACATCTGAGAGCTGCCCGTGCTGTGGTTGGGGAGTGTTAATAGTGCAGATGTGGCATCAGAGCTCCTGCTGCCCCCACAAAGCAGAGCTGCAGAAATGACTGGAGCAGCGCTGCAAGCACCATGCTGGGCCTAATTGCCACAGGGATGATACACAGATGGGGTGTATAATTATTATTTTATCGTTATTCTAAGGACACACCATTTTTTAATGGAAGGGGTTTCATACACTCAGTACTTATTTGCTCATTAACATCTTCAGAGCGCTGCTTTTTTTTTTTTTCCCCAGGATGGGTACCTGGGGGGGGGGCAGTGCTGTATTATTGTACATGAAAGGGGTCTCCTTCTTAGCTTTTTCCTTCAGAGCAAACACTGAACTGACACTTCCTGTGCTGACAGCTCAGCTCCCCAGGCTTCAAAGCACAACTTTGGGGAAGATTTCAGAGTGTGAGGCTGCTCCAGATGATGAAGCTGCAGCCCAGCTGACACACAGGCTCTGGGAAATGAGTTCTCCCTCTTTTTGGGAAGCCTAAAGCAGGAGATCCACACTGGGATGTGTTTGGGGGTCTTTCAGAGGGGCAGGATGCACTTCCAAGCTGTGAGCACATTTTGAGGAACTGTTTTCTTCCGCAATTCCTTTTGCTCCCTGTGTTTTCCCAAACACAGCTGGGAGAGCTGAGGGGCTCAGCCAGAGCTGGGGGATTAACCCTGGACATCCCCAAGCCAGAAATCAAAGCTCTGCTCCATCTCTCTGGGTCATTTGGCTGATCCAGGCTCCCCTAGGGATGCTTGAGGGAGGTTTGGAATGATCAGAGCTAAGCTAAGCCAAACCACAGCAGCACCGTGTCCCCTCCTTGCACCCGTTCACCCAAGGAGGCAGGAACAGAAACACACCCTGACCTACGAGACACCTTTCCAAAACCAAAAAGAAATCTGATTTCCCTGTTCCCACGTGGAGGCTGGAGTTCCCGGTCGTGTTGATGAGGACTGACCCCTCCCACCTCAATTCCCCATCAAACAGCACCGTTGCCACCGTCCCCTGGGGACCCACCAGCCCCTCTCCCCTCGGAGCTCCGCAGGCTCCACAGACCCTCTGCCAAACCCAACTCTCCCCCCTGCTGACACCTCCATCCTGTTTGTGGTGTCTTTGGCACTTCCCCCTCCAGCACTTCCAGTCCCCTGCAGCTTCCCCAGCCCAGCCCAGGCCTGAGCCAACAGTAACACATGGAAGCTCCTGGAAACCCTGGCAGGAGCCTGTCCAGGGGCAGAGCTCCATGTGCTGGGAACAGCCTGGCCCAGCAGCACCCACAGCCTCGGGGTGTCCCCCACACTCCCCCTCCAAGGCAAACCCACCCCAAACCCCCCACTCAGGAGGTGCAGAGTGCTCAGAGCAGGGATCTCCCACCGAGGATTGGGAATCACCACGAAACACAACCCCAAACTCCGGCAGCAAAGGGCACATCAACAAACAGCTTCACAGCAGCACCAGGGACCCCTTTTACCAAGGGAGCCCCAGCAGTTCCTTCATTTATTGCTGAGACCCCACCCCAGGCATCAGAAATTAATCAAGGGCAAGGCCAGGGGTTTGTTCCCTTTGTTTTCTGCGGCTGCAACACGATCACCCCCCCCGGGATCATCTTTCCTCCTTCCAGACAGCTGAGGGGAAGCCACAGCCCGCAGGTACCGGGCAGTAACTGGATCCTGCAGACCCAGATACGGGCACTGCCAGGCACAAACTGCCCACACAGCCCCTGCTGCAGGGACAGCTCCCACCACCATGCAGGTAAGTGCTTCAGCCTCCTACAGCTTTCCTGGCATGGGGTGGGTTGGAAGGGAGGCTAAAGATCATCTTGTTCCACCCCCTGCCACGGGTAGGGACACCTTCCATGAGTCCAGGTCACTCCAAGCCCCACTCAGCCTGGATTCTTACCCTGCCAGCTCCCCTAGGGCAGTGTGAGGCCATAAGAAAGTTCTCCTTCAAGGACATGAATTACCATTACAGGTCCTCAACGGCCCCTCAGGCCTTCGGTAACAGCTTAAAAACAGTCAGAAAATATTAATAGCAGGTTATTCCTTACTCTTTCCACACATGGAAAGGCACAAAAAGAAGCCTTCTGAACCACAACGTGGTAATGTCCTTCCCAGCTTGGGATGTGGCTGTGCCACAGACACATTCCTTTAGATTCCTCCTGTTTCTAGGAGAAGAAGAACTTTAACAAATGCAAAGACCACGGTCTAAAAGCTGTGACTGATGTTATAAAATGCAGGAAAGCCTTTTTGTTGGAGTGGCAGGAGAACTGAGTGTCGGTGCCTTCCCTTCCCCAGCCGACACTCTGCAGGCTCCGCACTCACCAGTGGTGCTTCATCCTCTTCAACCTCCTGCTTTTCCACCTGCTGCTCTTCGGGGCAGATCTACTGGAGGAGTATTTCCTGCGTTCCTTCCCTCTGGCCTACACCGATGCCAAGACTCTGGAGATCAGGGAGAGGGCCAGGAAGCTGGACACGGAGCCCCTCAAGGTCAACCTCTCTGGCAGGGTGAGCGGTGCAGTGACGTGCTCTGCCCAGGAGGTGTTTCTGCTCATCCTGGTCCACAGCAGCCCAGGGAACAGGACGAGGCGCGACAGGATCAGGCAGACCTGGGGGAACGTGACAGACACCGGGGGTTACACCGTCCTCACCCTGTTTGCTGTGGGAAAGGCAGCTTCAGAAAGCACGCAGCTGGAGGTCAGTGAAGAGGCTCAGCAGCACAGGGACATCATTGAAGGCACTTTCATCGATTCCCCACAGACACAGACACAGAAGATGCTGCTGAGCGTGGAGTGGACGGTGACTTTCTGTCCCCGGGCCAGATTTATCCTCAAAGCAGACGAGGACGTGTTTGTGGGCGTTGCAAGCCTGGCTGGGTACCTGCTGAGCTTAACCCAGCTAGAGGACATCTACCTGGGGCGGGTCGTTCACCAGGGAGTGCCTGACAGGGCCCCCCACAGCCCTGCCTTCGTTCCCACCCACGAGTATCCCGAGCAGTTTTTCCCGGATTTCTGCCAGGGCAGCGCCTTCGTCATCTCCCAGGACGTCGCCCGCAAGGTTTACGTGGCTGCCCAGGAGGTGCCACCGGCAGTGCCCCCGGATGTTTTTGTGGGAATCTGTGCTAAGAGAGCTGGAATCACTCCCATGCACAGCTCCCGCTTTTCCGGGGGAAGGCACATCAGCTACAACCGCTGCTGCTACAAATTCATCTTCACCTCTTCCAACGTGAAGGAGGACGAGCTATTGAAAGCCTGGCAGGAAACAAGCAGGGGGGAAGATTGTTCCTTGCTGGAAACCTACTACAGCCTGGTGTCCTGCAGGGTCCTGACCTACATTGACAAGTTCAAACAGTTCAACTTGGACAGGATAAAACACGAGGTTCTTCATCTTGTCAACTAGGGTTTAGATTTGGCGAAGAAAGGCTGGATTTTCTTTTAGCAGCTGCTTTATCCTGTAGGATTGGATAGGAATCCGTAGCAAAGTTAGGTCTCCTCCCTTCAATAGCAAATGAATTCCCAGGGCTGCAGTGTGTGACAGCAGCAGAACTGGATGTTCCCTATGTAATGCATGCATATAAGTAAAGTAGAGTATTCCAAGAAAGTCTGTCTGTCTCCAGTGTTTTTCAGACTTCTGAGTCCTCAAAGCACCTTCTACATTTTTCACCCAAGTGAGGCATCACCTACTTCCAAAGAATTTTGTACCCAAGGGGAAGCTTTCCACCCACAGAAGGAGCTGGTTTACAGCACCAGGGAAAGGAGAGGAACACACACTGAGCCAGCATGGAAACGGCTCAGGGAGATTCCAGGCAAGAAATCCAACTTGCCTGGTAAAGAATCATCTATCTCTGTCAGTCATGACATCAGAGCACACTGACAAGGCAGCTCCAGGACACAACAGCACCACCAGCAGCGAGGTCAGAACAGACTCACCACAAACTGGTAACACCAACGTGATTCAAAATGTAAAAATTCCCCAGCGTAGGAACAAATCCCAGAACACAAAACCCACTCACACCTCCCTCCTCCAGATGAACTCTCTCAGGTCCACTCTTCGTCCTAGAGCTGTGAGACACCCAGGATGTACCTCTGAGAGCCCCAGCTCCTCTTCCAGCTGGGATTAAAGGTGTGTTGCCAAGGACCCACAATTCTGAAATCCCAAGTTATGCTGCTTGTTACCCTTGGCCAAGTGTTGAGTTTCAGTTTGGGTTTGGTTTGTTCTTCAAACCAAAAGTTTAGAGTGTAACCTCAGTTCTCCTTCTCCAACACTCCATTTCTGGTTTTTCCTCCGCTATCTCCACCTGTTTCTTTAAAGAGGGGATGACAGAGACACTTTTATTTTCCATTTCTATCAGCCACAGCAGCATGTAACCCATATGGCAACGTACAGCATGGGCAGGGAACTGCAAGTGGAAAAATAAGGGGGAAGTGGGTGATCAATTGATCAATAAAACAAAGCATATGTGCATACATAAAAAAAAAAAACAACAAAAACAACCAAACCTTGTTTGGCATCTCTGCCTGTTCTAAAATATTGTCTTTGGCAAGTGTACCATGCAAAGCAGATGCTAAAGAATGAGCACACAGAGTGGCCTTCAAAAGCAGCAGCTGAAAACACACATGGAGGAGACTCATGAATTGCAGAAAAGGTTTATATATTGATTTCTTTTACTGAGGTTTTTAGCATATATGGCTCATACAGAGCGACCAGCACACAAAGCCACCTAAAATAACAAAGCTGAACTGCCCCAAACAAGTGCAAAGGAAGGGCTTCTGCACTCTTTTCATTTCCTTGTCAGTGCTTTGATGTTTTTGCTGGATGCAGGACTCGGGAAGCTCCACGTTCTCTGTTTACAAACAAGACGCTGTGGCACATTTCTCACCAGCAGGTGTTTTTGGGGCACGTTTTTGGGGTGAAAGCAGCAGCAGGGTCATGGAGGAGAACAACTTCAGTCCATCTTGGAGCAGCAAGGCAGATCAGTCCTCCCAGACACTCAGCAAACACGAAGGGATCCTCCCCAGCTCCTCTGAGCCCACTGGCACTCCTTGGCAGCGATTTTTGGCAACAGCAGCTGCACCTCTGCTTCCCACAGGCCAGGAGAGAGCTCCTGCATCACTGGCTCCTCCTGCTCCCCTGGCAGCACAGGGACAGGGGGGGAGCATCCCAGAATTACCCCTGACTGCCACATCACTAAAAACAGACCCCAAAGTGCTAATTCCATGGTTTGTTATGCTCTCCCCAGCTATTCCTCCAACATGTCCTCAACAGAAATAATATCAGCCTTTGATATAAAGTACACTTATGGACAAAGACACCTCTTGATTCTCCCCCACAGTTATCTGACACCTTCAAGATTCCAGCTTCCTAAGGAACATTTCCATCCTCCTGCTTCATTCACACCCTTAAACACAAAAGTTTCGTGTTCTTATCCTTTTAACTCAGGCAATTAAAATCATATGTTTCTTTAAATAACATTTTAAAAAAAAATCATCTCTGTTAAAAAATAGTACAAACAATTAAAGATTTGGTTCTGAAGGAGCCTTGCAGTGCTCCAGCTCAGGCTGCTTTTGAGCCACACCACGTTACAGCCGAGGGAGGCAAAGCTCCAGTTCGGTTTGATCCACTCCAGCATTGATTTGTTTTCAAAAAAGGGCTCCAGGGTTTGTTGTTTAAATCCTCAGCATCGAATGTAAACAATATTTCGGGTTATTTATTCAAGCAAGACTCACAGCCAGCAGGTTGAGAAACAGAAGGGAATCCAGTTCATACTCCCTCATGTGGACAGAGTGGGGCTTATTCTCAGCATCAGGATTCTGACAGGACAAAGGGGGTGTTCCACGCAAGTGCCAACTTTGGCAGATATAAAAAAAAGAATTATTTTAATTAAAAAAAAAGAAAAAGAAGAGAAAAACTCTGGCAGCATCTGAGGTTACAAACCTCAAGGTGTTCTAGTGTTTGGGGTTTTGCCCCTTTTTTTAACTGAACTGGAACCTACCGAGAAAACACGACGGGAACTCCAAATCCAACAACAATTTAACCAACCACCAACAAATCCTGCAAACTCAAACACAGGCAGTAGTTGGGAAGTGCAGCAGTTGGGAAGTGCTTTACACCTGGCTTGTCTCATGACAGCAACACAGGGAATTCTGCCGTGACATTTACGGGGAAACATCAAATAGGCTTTAAATTTGCTCTCGTGACTCGTTTCAGAGTCAAAATATCCTCCCATTCCTTTACAGAGACAATCTGAAGACACTCCAGGGGGGAGAGTCTTTACACCTTGTACCTCACCACCTGTTTCCTGGGTTGCCAGAGGGGGACCCGAGCCAGCAGTGCTGTTATTCTGCTCCTTCCACAGCTGTGGTAGAAACTGCCTTGACATAGTAAGGGCCCTCCTGCAAGTAAGCCCTGAGCCTCAGGTAATACTGATTGCCAAAGATCTCTGCAATGGTTTTGGAGTTTACCAGGGCCTTCACCAGTTCGTATTTAGCATCCTTGGAGGCTTTGTCAGGCTCCACAGATCTGTCCACAATGTACTCCACAAACCCTGGGCTCTGCAGCATCAGCTTCTGGGCCCATGGCTGGTTTGCAATGGCCTAAAAAAAAAAAAAACAAACCAAAAAAAAACAGAAGAGGTGTGGGAGAAGGGAAACATCTCGTTTTAAACCCCCCAAAAAGCAGTTACACATAGTAGGTTCTTTGGCAAACAGCCAAGGAGCAGGACAAATGAAATGAGATATTCATTGGACACAGTGGGACCACAACTCAAATCAAGCAGCAGGGTCTGACACTGCACAACAAGAAGTTCGTGGCCTTCACTTTAAAAAAAAATAAATAAACCTGAGCCTGAAGGGCAACACAATTCACTCCCTGATCTTCAAAAGCAAAAGGCACTTACAGTGAACACCCGTAAAGCCCCACAGTGCAGGTCAGGGAATGGCTGAGTGCTGATGCTCCTGAAGAGTTCCAGGGGCTGGCTGGACAGGGATGTGAACCAGGATTCTGTCATCCTTAAAAGGTCTTCTGTCTGCTGCTCTGGCTGCACAAATCACACCCAGAAGGGTTTGATTAGGGTGAGGAAAAGCTTTCAGGTTTTCATTGCATGTTCAAATGGTTTCCTCACACCATTAAACCCAAATCACTGGATCTAAAGAACACACACAGGCATTAGAGCAGTTGCCACCATCCCTTTGAGCACAAGGATGTTAAACCTGTTTATTCTCATTCCCTTGTCAGTAAAGTCTTGATGTTTTCCAAACAGAACATCTGGTTCCTTACAAACAAAGTCAGACCTTAAGCAAACAAATACATCAGGGAATCTCTAAACAGTACAATCAGTGGCTGCAGAAGAGCAGAAAGCATCACCTCTACCTAAGCCAGAAGCTTCTGAAGATCTCCTCACAATTACCCAGGTATAACAATAACAGTAATAATTTCATTCTTGTAGATTTAAAAGGAGAGAACAAACAAGCCCCAACTTACAGGCAAGTAAAGAAGAGCTGAGATGGCATCCAAGCAGCGCAGCCGTAGCTCCGTGGGGGCATTCTTGGCCTGGTGCCCTATTTTGCTCAACAGGTTTTGGAATCTACTCCCTTTCAAAACAAAAGCAAAGTGCTTTTAAATTAAGCCAGCCAGACCTCTACACGAGCACAGTGTTATCCCTCAGTCCCATCAGACACGTATTTATTAAGTAAATACATTTTCCGATTGCTTTTATACCAAATCAATTCACTCTTGTGTCATGCTGAGGGGGTTTTATTATAGGAAAAAGGTACTAACTGGTTTTCTGTAAAACCTGTTTGCCTTCCACATTTGATCCCAGGATTCCCAGCGTGTCCACAGCCACTCCAATCATGGTGGGATCCTGACTTTCTGCCATTTCAAAGACTTTCTCCATGAAGACAGGGTAGCGCTCACAGATCTGCTGGGGACTGTCGACAACTGCCAGGTTCCCAAAAAACTTCACAAACCCTGAGAGAACGAGACCAAAATGAGGCACTGAGGGGAGGAACAGTAACTTCAACGACAAAACTAAATGTGAGGTGGTTTTGTTGCTAAATCTGTGTTATCAGTGTGAACACTGTATAAAGACAGAACCAAAGAAACAGCCAAGATTTTGTCGGTTCCTCAATTCACAACCTTTACATTCCTAAAGAAATTCTACAATAACACAAACTCCAAAAGGTACAGCACTTGCCTGTGCTACCACTGTTAATGAGGACTATTCTTCAGGTGTCAATCTGTCCTTCAGCATTTTTTTATACATCCAATATTTTGATCACTTTCCCCATCCCATCTAATGTTCAAAAATTCACACAAAAGAGAGGCTCAACAACTCAACTCGTTAACAAAAGCAGGCAGCAAAGCCTGGAAACAAGAGGTGCGTGAGGTCACCTGGCAAATAGAAGCTGGAGAAAGGATCAGACTCTGCCCCAAGGATGATGTTTGAGATTTTGTCGATCACGCCCTGCTGAGCCAGGTACTGCCTGCCCTGGGGGGTGTGGGCCAGTGACGTCACCATCTCTATGCAGGTGGCTCTGGAACAAACAAACATTTATTTGGGGATCTTTTAGAGAGGGGTTGAAATATTCAATGATTAAGGAAAAAAAACAAACATATCTGTAAGACAAAATCCAAACAAAAAACCAAAAAAATCACCCCAATTATGCAAGCTCCTCCAAGCTCACTCAGCTCTTACTTGAAGTGTAGGAAAGAATTGAAAGTGTTCATGCTCAGCCAAACATTACAATTGTCACATCATCATGGGGAAGCTTCATCTCAGCTCTCAAATTAATCTATGAAGTATTTTACACTTGAGAAGAGGCAGAGAAAGCGTTTTCCTGCAAAGGGTTTTCACAAAACCCACACACAGATGTCTTTAAAGACTGAACATCAGAGTTTTACCAAGCCAAACATACCTGACCAGCACATCCTCTCCCGTGAGCTCCCCAATCAACTCAGCTATTAACCCACTGTTTGCACAGTAATTCAGGGACTCTGCTGACACTGCAGAAATCTCCACGATTAACTAAAGGGAAACAAATAAGAAAGGATGGTTTATAAAAACATTCTAATGATAGCAATTCACAGTAATGGCCAAACACACCCTATAATGCTGATTAATGTTATATATATTAAATAGAGAATTTCATGATGTTTTCACCATTAACCCAAATGTTTGCTGAAATCTTTTTCTAAGGAGTCCTAAGTTTACAGCCCACGTATTTTATTCCCATTCACAGCCAATCTTCCCTCTGCTATTCCCATTAAGCTCCAGAATAACTGTGTCATTCCTGCTTTACCATCCACCTCTAAACTGCCACCCGTGGCACCTCTCTCATCTCTTCCCTCCCTCCAGAACTTTCAACAGCACTTCATATGCAGAGGTTAAGAGACCACCACATCCAGCTGTGTGAATTTTACTCTCAGCAAGTGGTAAATGGTGATTTAAAAGCCATCAGCCCCTACCAGGGAGCTGCAGCCCCACCTCGTACACGCGGTAGCGAACGACGTCACTCGTGGCCATGACGTTCTTCAGGTCACTCAACAAACTGCTGACAAAGAGAGCCTCCAGACCTTCTTGTGTCTGGGCTATCCTGGACAGGGATTTGATGGCCTGGAAGCAAAAAAAAAAAAACAACAAAACAAAACAGGAGGTTGGTATTAAACAGTCAAAAAAAAAAAATCCAAGATTATCAGGCTTATGTTCTTTATTAAGTCTAGTTACACACTAATTTTTAATAACAACTCAGCTAGTTATGGTTATTGCCATCCAAGTCTCTGGCATTAAATTCTGACTTCCAAGTTCACTTTGGCACCAACACCTACTGGAAGATGACAGTTCTGGGTGTATTTTCTATCCCGACCAAGCGACTTCTCTTTTAATCAGAATCTTTCAGGCACCACCTTTCCCTCGGGGAAGGGCAGGAGCTGCTCACCTTGGACACGTGGAAAAGGTGGTTTGTGCAGAGGGATAAGCAACAAAGCCCATCTCACCTCCTTGGCCACTGCAATCTTCTCTCCCCCGATGCTGTTGATGATCTGCCGCAGCAGCTCGGGGCTGTTGAGAATTTCTGTGACAGCACCTGGGTCTTCAACAATCCTCCCAACCTGAGCAAAGAATTGGAGAGAACAACATGAGAGTGAGCTTTTTCCAAACCACAGTGTTTTTAAACCACAGGAAAGAGTCTTTGAAATCACTGCAACAAGTGCCAAGTCGCCACAGCCTCTTCCCCTTTGGTGTTTGCACAATATTGTTTATAAAGTATCCTGAATATTAAAATGTTGCTGTTTTTAATTCTTCCAGCACCTGCTGGTGGTGCTGGCCGGGAAAGCTTTAACCAGAAGGTTCATTCACAGGTTACTTTTGTCAAGACAGTTTTATACGTTATAATTGACACATCATAAAGCATGAAGGTGCTGCACAGTCATTATCCTAAAACGTGTCTGTAAAAGTACAATTCCTGCAGTGCTGTAGTGCTTTTATCACAAATTAGGGCATGAAACAGCAGTAAGAGCTGAGGGCTGAGCCAGCCTGGCTGCACACAGAGCTGGAGGAACCCCCGTACCTGGGCTATGGTGAGGATCTTCACGGAGTCCTCGGGGTGGCAAAGCCCTTTCTGCAGCTCTTCCCGGAGGTTCTGGATCACGTACAGCGGGTCCAGCGCCTGCAGGAGCCTCTCCAGGATGGACACACACGCGGACACCTGTTCCCTGAGCGGGATGGAGAGAAAAAAGACCGACTCGTGAGAGAGGGGGGGAAGACGAGGCTGTGTCAGCCGTGCTACCCCCACCCTGAGGGAGCCGGGGAGGAGCAGCAACAGCAGCGAGGGGGCGGAGGGGGCCGCTCACCGGTCATCGGCGCTGAGGAGGGCGAAGAGCGCTCCCAGGTGGTGCTCGCCGAGGCGGGCGCGGAGGGCGGCGAGCGGCACAGCCTGCAGGGCGACCCGCAGAGCCCGCAGCTCCTCGAGGGCCGCGTCCCGCCGGGCCGCCCGATCGAGCAGCTCCACCGCCGCCTCCGCCATCTTGCCCTCCGCCATGGCCGCCAAACATCGCGAGAGCTCCGCCCGCTTTGAGCAGGTGTCAGGCGGGGTTATCGCGAGATTTCCACAGCCCTTAGCAACGGCGCGGCGGTTGCTAAGGGCGCCTCTGGGGTCCGCCGTGTCAACACATGATTTGGCCCCGCCTCTTTTGGGGGCGTGGTCAATATGGGCGTGGCCCCGATGATTGACGTGGCGTGGCCTCGCTGAGGGGTTGGGGGGGGGGGTTCGACCCCCCCCAGAAGGGGGTTTTGGGAAAACCGGGATAAATGGCTTTGTCCAGGGTTGGGAAGGGCATCCCGTGTGTGTCCGGCAGCTCCCGGAGCTGTGGAGAACATTCCCCTCCCCGCGATGTGGTCAAGGTGAATTTTCTCATCTTTTGTGGGACGTAACTGGTGTCCTCAGATAGCTTCTACAATAATAAAGAAAAGACCTTTATGTTTCAAGCCTTGCGTCCGATTGCATCGCAGAAGTCAATATGTATCTGTTCATGTAAATTTTACCGTGTAAAATATGTAACTTGGGGTGCTTGGTTTGAGGAAACCTCCACCCCGCACAGAATAAACAATATCTTCTTTCTAAACTATGTGTGTGTGTTCAGAGAGCTCCTAAAATCGGGTCCCAGAGCAGACCCCCCCAAATGGCGTCACCCCTGTGATGGGGGGACCTGGAGGGGTTTGCAGCGGGGTCTGAGCTGGGACCCCCCCTCAGCCCTGGGTACAGCTCGGCCACTGCAAGAAAACTGGGGATTTGTTTTAAAACAGCTGAAAAAAATGTTAATTTTTCAACCCCTGGACAGTAAAGTGAAGGAAAGGCCTGCAGAGCTTGGGGGTGGGGGGTTCAGACCTCCCGGGCCCCCAAGGTGGCACCGTGTCATCAGCACCTTCCAGAGCACGGAGGGGCAGGCTCTAAATCCAGGCTGGAATGTGTTTTACAGCTTATGGGAGCCCAGTAAAGTTACAGCAGGAACACAGTCAAGTTCCAACAGGAACCCAAATAAATGGGGTGAGACAGAACGCAGCGCTCGGTTCCTCCTTGTTGGAGGTTTCAGGCACAAACAACACAACAGGACTTGGCAGCTGCCTGGTGGTTTCCATCTGAAGAGTACAGAGCCCTGACAACATTAAATCTGAGATAACTGTTTTATAGGTAAGGAATTCAAAGCCAAAGTGACAGGTGGCATCAGCAGGTCCCAGAGCACCGGGGACAGCACGGGAGAGAGGGATTTCCCAGCACATACTGGGACAGGAGTTTGATAACAGGATACCACCCAGGGGCTGGTTTGGCCCTGCTGTGGTTGGACCCCACTTTTGGGCCATCTGTCCCCCCAGCCCTGCAGGGAGGGGACAGAACACTGTGTGTCCCCTGTCCCTGCCCCTGGCTGGGCAGGCAGGCTGTGCCAGCCGGGGAGGAAGAGGAGCAGGAGGAGGAGTTTGTGCTCCCACGGGCAGCCTGCCCAGGCAGCATTCCCAGCTCGGGCAGAGCAGGTGGAGGGACGGAGGGATCGGCCATGGAGTGGCTGAGCCAGCGCTGCCCGCTGCCATCCTCTGCCCAGGGCTGGCCCCGGCCTGGCAGGGGCACTTTGCTGCTGGTAAGTGGGAGCCTCTGGCTCTGGGATGGAGATGGGGATGGGGGGGGGGACACGGGTGACCCGTTGGGGACATCGATCAGCGCCACGCAACCCTGGAAATACCTGCCCGTGCCTTTCCAAGGGAACCTCTGCACCAATCCATGTCCTCCCCGTCTCTGCCTGGAGCAAAGCGAATTTCCGAGGAGTTTGTTCGTTTCTTTGTTTGTTTTCCCCACTCGCTCTCAGGAAAGCTCGGGGCAAACTCAGCGTTGCCACGAGTTGTGTTTGGGTGGTGTTGCTTGTTGGTTGTGGTTTTTTTTAACACACAGCCTCATCAAAACTAGGCAGAAGGTCCTAACGTGGTGATTCTAAAGCTGATTTTTTTTTTTTTTTTTTAGTTCAGCAAAGCCAAAACAAATATTGCAGAAATCTGAGTCTCTCTGAGCTCAACTGTCATTTTTGCTGTTCGGTTCTTTTCAGCGAAGTGTTTAAAATCTGACAGGAGTGTTTTTCAGTTTTGTTCAATATTTTGGCAGTCACGAGTTTATTTGGTTTATCAGGCAGGAATCCTGAAGTTTCACTCTTCTTTTCCACCACCTCTTAGCACATACAATTATTCTAGGAAAAAAAAAAGGGGGGGGGGAGAGGTGAGGGTCTTTTATCTTTCCCTTCAGAGATAAAAAGGAGGGACCCCCCCTCCCCCAGAAAAGACAGTGCTCATATTTGTTCTGATATTCAATCACAAATGGTCCTGGGGATTTATGCACATACATCTTCCAAGAAGATTAATGATCACCGGGCTGAACAGGTTGGATGTTTTTTTTTCCTGAGCCAGGAGCATGATTACATTTTAATCTGGAAAAATAGGTACACCAGCATATCCCTGCTTGGCTTGTAATTCTCTGAGTAGCTCCTGGGGTTTGTTGTATATTTGTTAATAAATGGCTTAATGGGAAAAAAGAGCACAGAAGGAGCTCTAAAAATTATTATGAGAAACCTTGGGATAACAAAGAATGTTTCCTCAAATGGATAGGAAAAGAGGAGACAAGCAAGAGAACACATCAGTCATTTTTCCAAATGGAAAAGAGCTCTTGACTTTGCGGTGACAAGAGAGATTTTTAATTCAATTTTTTTTTTTTCTCTTTTAAACATTGGCACTGTAATGGGAGGATTTTCAGAGGACAAAGGAGAGTGGAAATAAGGGGGGGAAAGGAATATATTCTTAGTCTTACAAGCATGTTTTAATCACTGCAGCTGAACCAGGACCAGATGCTGTTTGTGTCAAAAACAAAAGACAAAGGGAAGAGCAGCTGGGAGAGCCTGCGAGTGCTGCAGCCCCGTCTCTGCCTGCTCCTCAGCACTCCAGACCCACCTCCCTCTCCAGCAGCATCCCTGCTGAGATAATGATGGGTTTTTACCAGTCTGTTTATGGCATTTGAGCACAAGCAGCAGCAGGGTTTGCCAGGACTGGCAGTTAATGCCCAGCAAAACCCACTTGTTGCTGTGCCCTGCCAGGCCACGGGGACAGCCGAGCTGTTTGGGCAGCCCTACAGACCTGGGATATTCCAGTAGGATTTCTGTGCCCAAAAGGATCTAGTTTCACTGGCAGTGTCAGATAATTAGGATGGAATGAACTTAAAAGCTGCCTCGAAGTCTTGCCCTGCCTTTCAGGCTGTGGCATAGCCCGGGTGGGCTGCAAAGGAGAATAATCCTCCTGGGCTGACAGGGCAGGATTAAAGCTCTGCAGGTGCACAGGCTGGGGCTCTGGTCCCCCATCAGGCTCCAGCCCAAACCTGTTTCCCATGGCCAAATCCCTACCCCTACCTGACACACTGCTCTTCTCCCTCCCACATCCCCCCACCCCCCCCCAACCGGTGCCTCCTGGAGGTGGTGACGCTGGCAGTGCTGATGTCCCCACTGCTGAGGGACCTGGCCCTGCAGCTGCACTCGGCCCTCACCGGCACCTACATCCCTGGCACCAGCTCCATGGCCTTCATCAACTGCCTCAACGAGCAGATCGCCAAGGACATCGCAAGGTACGGAGATGCCCCCCCTGCTCACCTGCTTCCAGCTGCTCCCTGGGCAATGATGCTTTCCCTTGGCCCTCGAGGGGATCTGTGCTGTTTTGCATTTCTGGGGTGGGCAGGCCCTGGCACAGGTTGCCCAGAGAAGCTGAGGCTGCCCCTGGATCCCTGGAAGTGTCCAAGGCCGGGTTGGACGGGGCTTGGAGCAACCTGGGCTGGTGGAAGGTGTCCCTGCCTGTGGCAGGGGGGTGGGATGAGATGACCTTTAAGATCCCTTCCAGTCCAAATCATTCCATGATTCTCTGGTCCCAGAGCATCGCTCCCTCCCACTGAGACTCTCTCTGTGTCACAAACCCCCTTACCAGGAGCTGTTCTGTCTCAAAGAGACCTGACAGTTGCCTCTGAAGTCGATGCCATGGTAACATCAAATAATTCTCAATTTATTCCACTGCCCCTCGTTTTCAAGGCCCATTTTAAAGCCATGGCCCTGAATCTCTGTGTCCCCAGCTGGGCTAAGCCCCAGCCCCTTGTTCCCTGACCTGCCACAGTTTTAATTCTTCTCTGGAACAGCAGACAGCAAAATGCCAGGAGGGGCATTTGTAGAGAGGGACAAACACATGCCATGCAAATACAGAAAAGGTGAATGGATGGATGTCCTCACCAAACACTGGTGAGGTTCCCCCTGGGAGCTGCACTCTGCCCACCAGAAACTTCAGGACACGAGGGCTTTACCTCTTTTTTTTTTTTTTTCCCTTCTGTTTGAATATATGAGATACTTTGCATGATATTTTGCATGCAGGGTTGGGGTTTTTTTTCACACATCTGTCAGTGCCTGACTCAATAGATGGTTTGTTCGAAGCCCTGAACCTGTGTTGACTGGGGAAGTGTTTATGATGGACCGTGAAGTTTCCTGCAACACCTCCTGCGCTGTTTTCCCTGCTCCCCTGCTGCTTGCCAAGATCCCTCCTGCTCCAGTGAAGTGCTCCCAAACAGTCGGTCAGGAGCTGACAGGCCCCTGAAAGGGATTTTGTGTCACCTTAAATGCTGCAACTGTACTAAGAAATTCAAGTGGAATTATGTCTGCACTAAAAAAGGGAGTAACTGTAAATGGCTGGTGAAAAGAGCCTCAGTGCCTGAAAATGCCTCATCTTAACAGCTCTGCAAATATTTTCCACTCTTTGTTCCTCCTCTTGCAGGGAAGGGAGAGGAAATAGCCCCCCATGGCTGAGATATTTGTACTTTGGTTGTGGTTTTACCGGTGGGGTGATCGTTCCTTTGTTCTGGAATTTGGGTGGATGAGCCACGGTTGTAGGGGATGACACGGGGGCTTTAAGCTCGTTTTCCCACACACCTTTTCCCTGTGCTGTTTATTCTTCCCTTGCAGTGCTCAGTGCATATCATTTGCTTTGCTTTTCTGCTCATTAATATTTAATCTGCCTCCATTCAGATTCCATTGTGAGCCAAGGACAAAGAAACACGCATTAAGTGCCAACCCAAAGCTATCATGTATTATGCAGTTGTTTTCCACAGATCACATTCAGCTTCTTAAAATGTTCCCCATTCCCGTGGTGGCCACTTGTTCCTGCTCAGCTTGCTAGAACCAAGTTCAGGATCTCCACTGGGATCTCAGTTTACTGGGCCAGAGCACCCAAATCCAAAATCTCCTGTGCTCAAGCGACTTTGCAGGCAGCAAAACCGAAATGATTTGTGCCATGTGTGACACGACAGTCACAGCAGGGGTGTCTCTGCTCGTGCTGCTGCAGTTTGTGGGTCTGAAGATTAACTCAAGATGCTCCACGAGCATTAAATGCCTGGAACTGCCCACACATGGTGAGAGCAAACAACCCTGAGCCTCCTTGGACACTCTCCCCTCTGGCCATGGGCCCCTGAGCCACCAGTCCATGTCCATAACCTTTGTCTGTAAACATTAAACACCATCCCAGGGGTTGTCCAGGTCCAGTTTCTTCGTAGTCTCCTCCATACATACATTATATGTAAGGATAAAAAAGTATTAACTTACTCTGAGCCAAAAACATTCTGCAGAGGGTTCTGAATTGGAGCAGTAATTACTTGGAGCGGGTTTAGTTCTTTACCTCACCAAGAGTTAATTTGTGCAGGCTGTTGAATCAAGCCCTCTGGTATGTAATAACTAATGTCCCCTCTGCAGTTCAGGCTCCTCTAGAAGTTAAATGTTGCATTGCCAGAGCCCTTGGGAGGGAGTAGCTCCCGGGGAGGGCAGTGTTAAAGAAAACCAAAGGTGAGGTCACCGAGTGCCCCCGAACGAGCTCCCTGCAGGGGCTGGGGCTGCGTCTCCCTGAGCAGGGCCAGACATTGCTGTGGTCACAAAACACATCATTTACCCCTTTCTTCTGAAAATCCACCCTGAGATTGCTTCAGTACTCTGTAATCACCCAAGTGTCACTTCTGCTGGCAGAGCCAGGCAGCTCTGCAATAACAAACCAGCCCACAAGGAACGGAGGCAGCCGCAGGGAAGGAATTTGTTTGGGCTTCGGATTTCTAGGACATTTTGGGTAGAAAAACCTTGATGTTGTTAATTTAACAAGATCCACATTGAGGCTGCTCTGTGAGGAAGAGGCACAGTTTGACAGTGTAAATACATGAGTGGGAGACAAACCCCTTCCTGTCCATCCCAGCCCCGGTTCTTGTGGTCCCACAGCCAGGGGGGCACAGGGGTGACACTGGGCAGGGTCCTGGCACCATCCAGGCCAGGACAAACACCCAACCTTCCTTCTTGGCACAGAGGGACAGCAGGGAGGGTCCCAGAGCCCTGTCAGGAGGTCCTGAGCTGAAGCAGCTCCAGCTGAAGGTCACCTTCGCCTCAGCTTTCTCAGGGTAATAAGTAACCCAAAATTCCATGTCTCCCTTGTCCCAGCTGCTGGTGGCAGTCCAGGGCAGCACGAGGGAATATGTGGGGCTGAGCACACAGCTGGGCTGGCACTGACTCCCCTCCTGTCTCCCCCAGGGCCATCATGGATAAGAAGCTGGCTGCCCAGGTGAACATCCTGCCCAAGAGCTCGGCCTTGTAAGTTGGGCTCAGCATTCCCCAGTGGAGGAGGCAAACACAGGCTCTCCAAGGAGGAAAGGAGGAGATGGACACTCCATGGCTCTGGGCAGAGGAGGCAGTTTCCAGAAGGCTGCTGGGTCTGTTTGTTGGTGCAGATGGGGGAGAGGAGCCTCACCGTGCTCCAGGCTCATTAAGGAGTGCAGATGCTCCGACTGCCCGTGGAGACCATTTGTTTATTGGTTCCTTGGCTACAGGGAGATCCAGCAATCCAGGATTTATGGTCCTGAGGACGTGGTGCTTGTTGTTAGAGGCTCTAAAAAGAAGCCCAGACAGGGACCAGAAAAGGCCTTTACAATATTAAGCAGCACTCTCAGGAGGGAAGACAGACCAGGATCTTTGACCTTGAACCACAACCTGCTCTGCAGGTGTCCTCAGCCATCCACACAAAGGGGTTGCACCGGTTAGAGGGGTTAAAGAGCAAAGCCCCAAACCAGCTCTTTCCTCATGGGAACACCCTGGCCCTGCCAGAAGAGGGGAGCAGATCCCACCTCAGCCTCCCTGCAGGAGGGATTCTCCCAGTGCACCCCCCGGGCTCTCCCATAGCCAGCCAGAGGCTGCTGAAATAGGGCAGACCCCATAATAACCTTCTTCCCCTCGTCCTTCACTCCCCACGAGCCCCAAGAGCCCGAGCAGAGCTGCTCCTGCCCAGCCCTGGCTGCTCCAGGTGGTTTCTGCTCCGGAGACTCCACGACGCCTCCGAGCCCTCCCGGCGCAGGAGCCCCAGCGAGCAGATGAAATCACCACGGCCTTCTGGCACTGCTGGGAAAGGTCACATCTGACTCATGACAAGTACATCTCCTCTCCTGCAGGGGAAGAGAGGAGGAAAGGGGGGGGTTGCTGCCGTGCTCAGCCTCCCAACTGCAATCCCTGCAGGTGCCGCCCCTCGGCCGCTGCTCAGAGCGGGGCCACCCCCACAGCCCCCCACAGACACCCCAGTCCCAGCAAATTCACCCTGGCATTCCCCCCGGGCAGCTCTCTGGAGGCTGGCACAGCCCAGGAGGCTCTGCTCCATAAATCCAGGGTGCTCAGTCACGTGCTCAGCGGTTTTGGGGCCAGCGATGCTTTTTGAGCCACTTGGTAAAGAAACAGCCACTTGCAGAAAGCACCAAGCAGGGAAAATAACCCAGCAGAGCTGGATCTGCTGATGCTGCTTTTCTTTTAAATCCAGGTATTTCTGGAAAGGGGAGCTGGAAGAATCCACTGAAATACTGCTGGTAAGTGATCATTCCCTGCCTCACAAATTCCCATCACAAACGGCCCCAAGTAGAAAAGGGAGGTTTGGGGAGGGTGGCACCAACCTGCCCATGGTTTGGAATAGGATCCCAAACACCTGTCTGTGGGCATGGCAGTGCTGGCTGGGAGCAGTGGAACTGCAGGTGCAGGATCTCTCTGTGTGTTTTGGTGTTTTTACTCTCCACAGATCGTGAAAACCAGGACATCCAAAATAGGGGAATTGTCCAACTACGTCAGGTGAGGCTCTGGCTCTGTGGGAGCTCTGTGGGAGCACTGGGTACCCAAGCCAAGGTAGGCTGTCCTCTCCTGCTCGGGTTTGGGAGTTCCTTGAGCCCCTTCCCACCCAGGGTGGTGGTGGAGCGCTCCCGCTGTACCCCTGAGCCAGAAAAACCTGGAGGTGGCATCAGCAAAAAAAGGAAAAGGTTGGCAGAAATACCAACTGTTGGGCTTCAGTGAGGAGGGACCCTCCTTCTCCTCACACAGGTCATTCCCTGGCAGCCTCCTGGCAGGATTTCCTGCCTTCCCCAAGCCCCTCAGGGCGAGCTCAGCCAGCTTTGGGCCAGACCCCCGGCAGTGGATCTGCTGCTGCTGCTGCCTGTGGTAAACCCCAGACTCAAAGCAGAATTCCCACATGGCAAAAAGAAGCTGCGGGTGCTTTGAAGTCGGTGGGGAGCGCGAGGCAGGGCTGGGATGAGCGGTTGGGAGCCGGGAGCTCGGCTTCCTGCGCCGGGAGCGGAGCTGGGCTGTGCTGACACTGCTGCTCCCCGGCTGTTTCCACTTCAGATCCATCCACCCCTTTGAAATCCCCGAGATCATCAGCCTGCCTATCGACCAAGGAAACCCTCTCTACCTCAAATGGATCGAGGAAAACGTCCCACGGGACTGACTGGAAAGGTCACCTCAGTTTTGGGAGCCCTGAGGGTCTCCCTGGGCAGGTGGGACCGACATGTGAGGAGGCAGCCTCTGTCTTCTTGGCCTTGCTGTAACACAGAAGTTTGGGATTGGGACTTTTGTTTGCACTGGAAACATCCTCTCCTGGGCCTGAGCAGGGAACTCTGAGCAGCCCAGAGCTGGTGCAGGCTGAGGAGGGAAAGGCTGCACCGTTGTGGATGAGGATACAGAGATGCTCACGTCAGGCCACTGCAGCATTTGGGGGCTCTTTCAGGCTGCCAGCAGCAAATTCCTTTGGGAAGCCACGGCCTGGCAGCCCCTCCAGTTCCATGTGTGCCCAACAGGCAGTGCCTGAAGCCTGGCTGGCCCCCCTGCTGGGTGCCAGCATCCTGCCCTGCTCTTCCCCAGCCCCGAGGCAGCAGGATGTGGCTGACGTGCCGGCTCCCGCTGTCAGGAAACTGCTGCTGCCTCCCAGGATCCAAGGAAGCAGCAAACCCCAGCAGATGCCTCAAGGAACGACCCAGAGCCACGAGCAGCACACGTGTGACCCTGCCCTGCCACGGAGCTGGGATGAGCTGGGATGAGCTGGGATGAGCTGGGATGAACTGGGCAACTTCCAGGGAACCCAAGTGCCAACAGGACCAGGGCATTGCCCCAGCCCTGCATCCCTCACCCCTGCCCTGCATCCCTCACCCCAGCCCTGCACCCCTCACCCCAGCCCTGCATCCCTCACCCCTGCCCTGCATCCCTCACCCCTGCCCTGCATCCCTCACCCCTGCCCTGCATCCCTCACCCCTGCCCTGCATCCCTCACCCCAGCCCTGCATCCCTCATCCCAGCCCTGCATCCCTCACCCCAGCCTGACCGGTGGCTTTTTGCCCAGGCCAAGCTTAGCCTTGCAAAAAGATGCTCGTTAATAGTTTAATGGGATATAACTTATGGGGTGATATCGAGGATTTACCCCCCAAGGAGCACAGACTGATCTCCAGAGCACAAACCCAAAAATCCTCACGCTACAGAATAACAGTGAAGTTAAAAAAGGAAAAAAGAAAAAAAAAACAAAAAACAAAGGACTTTTTAATTGTACATCAGAACATCAGATGGATTAATTACAACTTGGGTATAAGGAGAGTTGGTTATTACAAGCAGCAACCTGGACTCGGAAATCAGAAGGTGCACAGAGTCGTTATAATCTCGATTACAGCGAATGCAAAATATACTCTGAAAACAAAAATACTTTCAAAGGCTCCACATTCAATTCTCTGCAAGAAGCCAGGAGGGAACGAGAGGGGACAGAGAGGAACCACGTGGCCCCCAGTGAGGGGCCCCATCCCGGGGGTGCTGCCATTTGTGCGATGGCCATTGGCACATCCCACAGGAGTGGCCCTGCTCAGCCTGGCACAGCCCTTGGCAGGGGCTCCAAAGGCACTCGAGGAAGGGAAATATTTTAAGGGATCCTTTGGTGACAAAGCCAAGGCAGGACGGGGAGTGATCCAGCTGCTGGACCCCTCCCTGCCAGGGATGGGGGGCCTGGCACCACATATCCCTAAAGGAAGGAGTGACAGTGCTTTGACCCAGAGCCACATCCTCAGGCTCCTTCTCCAGGCACTGAACCAGCTCCTGCCTGGCCCAAATCACCCCCCCAGGCTGCAGAGAAGCTGCTGCTCTGCCCCACAGCACGGGTACCCCACCATGTCATTTCAGCAGTAGCTGCAGCAGTTTTATTTTTAAGGACCACACTTTGGCCTCTGGTTCGCAAAGGCCACCTGGCCTCTCGAGCCAACTACACTGAAGGATTTTTTTTTTTTTTAAGTACTTTTTCAGTAAAACAACCTTTTCAACTCACCCTCTGGTCAGCAGATCCCACAAGCACAGGTATGGACGGTGATGGGGCTGCAGGACAGGATCTGCTGATGGAGCAAGACCACCCAACCCACCCACCCTCCATCCCATGGGACAGACACGGTGGGATGGAGGAGAGACAAGGAGGACAACGTTAAATATATATATATATATCTTAAGAAAAAAAAAGTCTAACAAATATATCTGATATTAGAATCTTTTTTAAAAAGCTTTGCTCCTGCCCAACCTGGCAGTGTTGCTTTGTTAGAGAAGGGGACTGTTCCTTCCCCCCCACAGACAAATCAGCCTCACGTGTTCCCAAACACCAAGTGCTCTCCAGTGAGGCGCTGGCACAACCCCCTCCCCACGTCCCCACTGTCCTCTTCAGCCTTTTTGCTTTGTCTGCTGGTTTGGCACATTCAGGGTGAAGATTCCCAGGAGAACAAAGGCCTCGGGCTCCAGTCTGTGAAGTGCCAGTGGTGGCTTTAAGGCAAAGGAGGATCTTTTGGCCAGTCTCTTCCAGGCTCATGATTGTCAGAACAGGGAAATGAAGCTGGTGCAGCATCACAGGCAGTTCAGGTGGAGAGGTGAGAGCAGCCACCTATGTCTGCTCTGCGGCCATGAAAGCCACGTGGGGGCTGTTTGCTCCCCTCATTTAAAACAAACCACATTCCTTTAATGAATGGATTTAGGATTGAGGCAGAAAACCCCGAGAGTCACCCCCCATTTCCCATAGGCACGGTGAGGGGCTGTGAAAGCACTGGGTGAGGAGGGGTTTTGTGCTTGGGCACCAGGACCCCCTCGAGGCTGCTCTGTAAGGCTGGGAGGCAAGGACAAGTCAGGCTTTGACATCCATCCATGTGAGCAGGTTGTGGGGTGTCCCCCAAAGTGGCTTCCCCAGCTGTGCCAGGGGACCCCTCTGGAGGGGCCAGAGTCACCCCCTGCTCTTACCACCATCGTGATGGTGCCTTGGGCTCGGCCAAAGGCTCCACCAGCAGAGTGTGGCTGGGCCACGCTCACAGCCAGGAAAAACACTGGCCAAGAAACTAAAAATTGTTAAAATAAAAAAAAAAAAAAAAAAGAGCATCAAGGCTTTAGGTTCCGTTCCTGGGCAGTACCAATGGCGGTGCCAGCGCGGGCGCTGCCTCCACCCGTGGAGGCTCCCGGGAGCACCAGCACCCTCCTCTGTCTCCAGGCCAGGGCTGCCCCGGCACCCCGATCTCTGGCTTGGCTCCAGGAGAGGTCTCGGGGCTGGCAGGGCTCAGTAGGGGGTCGTACCTTCCCACTCCACCAGGTACTGCACCTTCCCCTCCAGCGTCACGCGCCGCGCCAGCACCTGGTACTTCTCCCCGCAGACCAGCCGGCCCGCGGCCCCGAAGTAGCTGCTGATGGAGGACTTGAGGTGGGAGAGCGACGAGTCGTCCTCGCTGATGCTCTCCCAGGTGTGGCTGTCGATGCCGCCACCGTCGGGGCACTCGGGGCCGCCCGGGGCCTCCTCGCTGCCCTCGGGGGTGCCCAGGGCTGGGCCCCCTGCCCTGCGCTTGGCACCGCCACAGCCATACGAGGGGGCTGCCAGCTTGCGCTTGCGGCTGCCCACGGTCCTCTGGCTGCCAGGGAGGGACAGAGCAGGGTGAGGGCAGCACCCAAAAGGTGCCCCCAAGCCGTGCCGGGAATTTGAGGGAGCCCGGCAAGGACTGAGGGCCCTGATCCTGCACGCCCTGCACAGCAGGGCTGCTCTGGGACCACAGGGGGCACAGGGGGCAAAGGCTCCTCCCTGACATGGGACAGCCCTGTGCCAGGGCACGAGGCCCCTCACCCTCCTGGCCATGCCACTGGGACCCCTCTGAGAGGGGGCAAAGGGCACAGCCCTCACCTGGACTCATAGGAGAGGCTCGTGGTGGCCGAGCCTGAGGTGCTGGCGGCATCTGTGGAGTCCACGTCTGACAGGAACGTCTGCCCTGAGCTGGCACTGGGGATGGGATGGGATGGGATGGGATGGAATGGGATGGGATGGGATGGGATGGGATGGGATGGGATGGGATGGGATGCAGTGTCAGCCCCAGCCTGGCACAAGCAGCACCCTGGCCCCCCCACACCCCCGGCCCAGCCCCACAGACCTTTTCAGGCTCTGGATCTCATCCAGCGTGAAGTCGAAGATGCTGGCCAGGTGGTGGTTGGTGCTCCAGGCAGAGGTGAAGTCACTCTGTGTCACAAAAACAAGCTCACTCGTCACTGCCTGGCAGAGGGGTGCTGCCCGTGCCCCCCAGCCCTGGCACCACCACCCTCCTGCCCACGGGAAGCGCTCTGTGCCAAGCCCACTCTTCCCAGGGGGAGGGACAGGGGCTCTCCCTGCCCACAGGAGTGGGGAAACCTCGCAGGGAGCCTCGGGACGGGGCTGCAGGGATCCCGCTCACCCACCAAATCAATCCCAGGAGGGCTGCAGAGAGCAGGGGGAGAGGGACTCACGCTGGGAATGGCATCCTCCAGCAGGAACTTGGCCCTCTTGCGCTTGGCCGCTCGCCGCTTGTGCTGCTGCAGCTGGCGGGGCAGGAGCCTGCGGAGAGCAGAGGGCCGTGAGGGGGGCACAGGGCACCGCTGCGGGGGGTGCCCCGGGGGCCAAGGCGCCCACTCACCCGTCCTTGTGGCCACATCTGCTTCTGCTCCTCTTCTTCAGCTCGCGGGAGCCGCCCTCGCCCTCGCCCTCGCCGGGGCCCTTCTCGGGCAGCACCTTGGTGGGGGGGCTGGGGGGGACGCGGATGCGCAGGCGGAAGATGCATTTCTTCTTTTTGATCTCCTTCCCGCACAGAAACCTGCAGGGGAGGGAAAACAGCCCTCAGCTCCCCCGGGGGAGGGGGGGGGGGACACGGGAGCACAGCCTGTGTCCTGCACCCCACCCTGTCCCCTCGCCAGGGACTCACCTGCTCTTGTAGCTGTTGAGGGCGTTGAGGAGGTGGGGGCCGCGCTCCGACACCGGGGTGCCCGTGAGCTGGGGGAGAGCGGGGTCAGGAGGGCTCGGCACCCTCTGGGGTTATACAAAACCCAGACAGATGGGGGAACCCAAACTCTGGGCTTCAGCTCCTGCCCAAGGCCGGGGAGGGAGGGATGCCAAGGCCTGGGTTGGCACCTCCAGGAAGCCGACCCACCCCGGGGCAGGCACAGGCTCCCAACACGCCTTGGTGTTCCTGCTCCTCCCGGCCTGGCTCCAACCGGGAAACGTGTCAGCTCTGGCACCCCAGCGAGGGCAATCCCAGCCCAGGGGAAGGTGATTAAGCTCCCTTGGAGCAGGAAGCACCCATCCCAAGTGCTGAAGGAGCTGGGGTTCGGCAGAGGTGCCCGAGCTCGGTGGCATGGGGCTGCTGGCACAGTGGCACTGCCAACACGTGGGCACGTCCCTTCCCACTCTACGCCCCCTGCCCGCTCCAGCCCAGGGGCTGACACCATTCCCAGCTCAGGGGTCCCCCCCTCCACCACAGACACTGCCCAGTGGGACACTCTGCTCTGCCCCTGTGTGTTGGTACCTTCCCGAGTTGCAGCGGATCCCAGTGGTGGTTCACGAAGGCCAAAATCTCCTCAAAGTCAAAGT